GGCGCTCGGCTGGGGGCGTGGCCGGCGGGCGGGGTCAGGGCGGGGCCTCGGCCAGTCCGGCCGGAGACGAGCCCGCCCCACAGCCCGGGCCCCACAGCCCCCGCCCGCCATGCCGCTCGCCGCGATCGCCCTGCTGCTGCTGGGAGCCCCACTGGGTGAGGGGCCGGAGCCAGGCCTCGGCGCGGGGAGCGGGAGAGACGGGACCCGGGTCCCCGGCCCCGGGAAGCTGACCCCGGGGTCAGGGGCTGAGACCCTCAGGGTGGAGACAAGGGACAGATTTGGGGCTGCGGCTTCCAGCGGGCTGGGGCCCACCGCGGGGAGGGGTTCATGGTGGGGGGACCCCGGGGGACCCCGGGAAGGGGACGACGGGGTGGGGCTGTGGGCGGCCGGAGCAGCAGCCTGGTAGCCCCGACCCCCCCACCCTGTCACAGCGCTGGCCGGCACCGGCTGCCTGGGGTACCTGGACGAGAACGGCTCCTGGCATCCGGGGTTTAGCTGCCCGCCTTTCACCTTCTGCTGCGGGACCTGCCACCGTCGGTACTGCTGTGGGGACCTGAACTTGCTGCTCTCCGAGCGGCAGCAGAAGCACTGCCAGGGGCTCAGGTGGGCCGGCCTCGCCTCGCCCCGTCCTCCTCTGAGGCTCCGTCCTCCCGCCCTGCCTGGTCCTCCCTCGTCCTGACCGGAACCCTGGGCTCCCACTTGGTGACGAAGCTGGGTATCGGGGCTCCCAGGAAAGGCCTGCCGGTGTGGTCAGGTGCCTGGGTGGGCCGCGTGTCCCCTGGGTCCTGTCAGGCCCCTGAGGCGAGGACTCAGACTCAAGGCCCAGACCGCAGCGTGGCTTGTGGGAGAGCGGGTTCATTCCCAGGCCACTTCTCACTCGCTGTGGCCTTGGGTCTTCATATAATGAGGGGCAGCTAGTATGAAACGTGAGGCTGCTGAGAGATTGGCCTGGGTTCCCAGGACCGTGCCTCTCAGATCCCATGGCGACTTTCCGTGCTGCCGTAGCTGCAAGTCCCCAGAGCCCCCTCCAGACTCCCCCAGGCCCTGGCCAGAGCCCACACGGCCCCCAGGCCTCGGCTGCCATGGCCCCAGGATGAGGACCCGTATCGGTGCTGCAGGCTGAGGGGGCCTGTTCTCTGTGTCAAGACCCAGGATCCTGGCAGGCATCGCCTCCGCCGTGGTTCTGTTTGTGGCCGTGGTTGCCACCAGCATCTGCTGCTGCTTGTGCACCTGCCACCATCTGTACCGCCGGCACCAACAGCTGCAGAGCCTCTTTGAAGGTAGGGACGGTGCCGGGCACGAGGCCCTGGGGCGGGCTTGCTGAGCCCAGGGGGCCACGGAGGCCCAGGGCGTGTGAGGCCGGCGGTCGTGTGGTGTGTCTCCCGTGTTCACATGCCTGCCAGCGTGTAGCCCCAGCCAGGGTCACATGTGGGCACCGCACTGCATGCTGACGCTGGTGTGCCTCCCATCAGTGGGTGCGTGTGTGCCTCCCATCAGGACGTGCAGGGGTGGCACGGACTGGGGTGCCTGCCTGAGTGTTGGCAGATGGCTGCATACGGGCACAGACCTGGTGACATCACAGGGGAGGTCAGTGTGGCAGAGACGGGCCGGGGGACCCCTGGAGGCTGGTCTGCGAGATTGCAGCCGCCCACCCCTCGTCCTGTAGGACATCCCCCAGCTGTGCTGCCTGGCTCGTGGGGTCCCACGCCTGCTGGGGAAACCGTGCTAAACACAGACAGACCCGTGGAGGCCACGCGCCAGCCCCGTGCAGCCAGGGCAGCAGGGGGCCAGAGGGCAGGGCCCAGCGGTGGTCACCTGGGGCAGGTGACCCCATGAAGGCGCCCATGGAGGCAGAGCTCTCAGTGCTGGTCCTTGTCCCCAGGCCAGGCCATCCCAATGACAGGCCCTGCAGCCTGGCTTCCTGTACCCCCCGGGGGTCCTCCCCACCACCCATTCTACCCGGCTGGGCCCCCTACATACAACCCTGCAGGTGAGTGACCAGCCTGCAGCCCCCTGCTCCCGCCTGCCCTCACCCCTGCGCTGGGTCCCCAGCGTCCTCTCTCGCCCCAGCGCGCTCCCTCCAGCTGGAGACTTCCAGGCTGGCTCCTCCCTAGGTATCCCGCAGCCTGGGTGTGTGTGGGGGGGTACTTCACATCCTGCATGCCCCCCACCTTCATCCTTCTTGGCTTTCAGCTCCACCCCCGCAGGTGCCACCGTAGCCCTCCTACCCAGGAGCCTGAGGAGCCCGCGCTGTCTGCTGTCCCTTCACCGATGCCCCTCCTGTCGTGGGCGGGAGTCCTCCACCCAACAGGCCCAGGCCGAGCCGTGCCCTGGGCCCTCCTGGGGACTGAGCCCCAGGGAAGTGGGACTTGGTCGTGACTGAGGGCCGGGTGGGCAAGGCTCGGGCTTGGCGGCCTGTTTGTTCTGGGCCAGGGAAGGACGCGAAAGCCTGGGTCACAGCCCCTGCCTTCTTGTAGACCCTCTGCTCCCAGGATCCCGGGCGGTGCCGCTGTGGGCAGAGGCCCTGCTCCCGCCACCCCACTGCCCGGGGCTCCGGCCTGCTGCATTAAAGCTCTGAGGACGCAGCTCACGCCTGCCTTTCCTGAGCACTGCTGCCAGCCACCCATCCCTGAAGTGGGGGCCAGGGCAGGGCTGGGGCAAGCGCCACCCTCGCCCCACCCACAAGTGGGATCACCACAGGCTGAGGGTGCTCGGGGCTGGTTCCCACAGCCAACAAGGTGGGTCCTGTCCACGTGGAAGAGGGCGCCCATCTGCACCGCAGAGCTTGCATGGCTGTCCCCTTTGGGGACACATAGATCGCGTTTGGCCCCATGACTGTCTGACCTTGCGTATGTCTCTGAAGGTCCCCAGGTCTCAGTTTGCTCATCTGCAGAAAGGGCCTGTCGTGAGGGTGCAATACGCACGTTAACGAGTCCTTCCTCCCTCGTCAGAGGGCCTAGGACACACAGGTGACACGGGTGCAAGGCGCTTGTCA